AGCTGAGAAGTGAGTTCTTCACCAGCCTCCAGATAAGAGCCTCGCCGGCCAATCCCTTCATTTCAACCTAAAAAGACCCTAAGCAGAGAACCTAGCTGAGCCACCCGGACTCCTGACCTACAAAGCTATGACTTAATAAATGTGTGTTTTAAGCTGTTCCATTTGTGCTGACATTTATACAGCAACAAAAACTAATACAGATTTTGCTCCACTGTGATGGAGGTGTCCCAGTGGGAAAGGTGGGCTGGCCAGCGTGGCCACCTCCCCACGTACTCCAAGAGGCTGGGCACTTGGCATCAGATGCTCAGCTGAGGAGGGGTCAGGAGCCCTGGGGCAGGCCCAGATTCTGTTCTCATTGTTTCTGGCCACCATTCACTCCCAGAGTGAGCCTGGGGCCCAGGTCACCCTCCTGACACCTGCATCTGGACGCCAACAGCCTTGCCCACCCTTGGGGTCCCCTTCCAGCCTGGTACCTGGCATCCTGTCCCCTCTCTGCCATGTCCTTGTCTCCAGAGCCAGGACCACCCATTTCAATATATAGAGGTCAGTTTCCACAGCTGAAGAAGGAAAAGAAACAAAACCTGGAAAACTCAAAACCTACTCTGGAGCTGACAGCAGCTGTCAGCAGAAGAGAAGGGAAGACAAGGGAAGGTAAACTTCAAAGGCGCAGCCCCTTTAGGTCCAGGCACAGGCCTGAGCCATTGCTTCCCTCTCCTTTTCTCCTGGGGAGCCGGGGAAGTGGGCTGTACTAGATGGTCACGGGTAGGCCGGGCCAAGTGGGGCAGGAAGGGTGCTCAAGGCTGCTCTGTCCCCCAGGTGGAGAACACACCACACTGCAGTATATATTGGCCGCCGTTGGTGGGGTCATCAGGGAACAGGTGCCCAGGACGTCAGGGCATGGCTGTGGCAGGCCAGCCTGCAGGCCCAGCTAAGGAGGCAGAAGGGAGTGGAGCTGGGCAGGGAAGGGAGGATCATTAATGAGAAAAAATCACGACCCCTCGTCAGGCCCTCACCAGACATCATGCAGAGGGAGGGCTTTATTCCATCAGCTCATTGAATCCCACAGGAGGCTCTGTGAGGTGGCTTGTCCCCATTTGTCAGATGAGAAAAACAAGTCCCAAAAATCACACTGCCGGCAAGGTTGGTAGACTGGGACTGCAGCCCAGGCGGTCTGATTCTGGGAAAAGCAGAGGTCCTCCACTCTCTCCACTCCCTCCTACCCCAACAGGGCAGCCTCCCCACACCCCTCCTTCCGGCCTGCTCCTGGCACAACAGCCTGCGGTGCCAGACGGGCGGCAGCTCTTGTCAGCCCCGTGCCACTGACGCCACAGGATGGGGCCCGTGTCCCCCTCTGTAATCTGAACTGATAACACCTGCTCTCCCATGGCTGTTAGCGGTCCAGATGTCGGCCAAGGCGGTCACTGTTATGCCTGCTGAGTGTGTGCACTGTGCCAGGTATGTACATGCTCTCAGCAGACCTGAAAGCCCTCGAAGGAGACATCATCTCACAGAAGGCAAACAGGTCCAGACAGGTTAGGTAACATGGCCACGGGCCCACAGCTGGTAAGTAGTGGAGCCACATTTGAACTCAAATCCCACACTAACAGTTATGTTATATCCCTTTTGCGGACAAAAGTACCTGTAAAACACTCTACAAATAAGGCACATTGCTAACTAGTGGTCATGAATAACTACTACGTATTAACACAAAAACAAGGAAAGTAGGCCAGGCACAGTGGTTCATGCCTGTAATCCCAGTGTTTTGGTAGACCAAGGCAGGATGATTGCTTGAGGCCAGAAAATCGAGACCAGCCTGGGCAATACAGTGAAACCCCCAACTCTACAAAAAATTAAATTAGCCAGGCATGGTAGCCCATGCCTGTAGTCTCAGTTACTCGGGAGGGTGAGGTGGGATCGCCTGAACCCAGGATTTCAAGGCTGCTGTAACCATCATGCCACTGCACTCCAGCCTGGGCTACAGAGCAAGATCTGTGTGTAGGGAAAATCTCTCTCAAATCATGTTTTTCCTTTATTCCTGTTGCCAGAAAAGAAGGTCCCGATCCAGACCCCAAGAGAGGGTTCCAAGAGAGGGTTCTTGGATCTCACGCGGGAAGGAATTCAAGGTGAGCCACAGAGCCCAGTGAGAAAAGCAAGTAGATTAGAAAGGACTCCATCACAGAGCAGGCGTGCTCAGAGAGCAGGGGGAAGAACTCACCATCTTTGGTTAGTGTCTCTGCTTATAAGAAACTACAGGCCGGGCACGGTGGCTCACGCCTGTAATCCCAACACTTGGGAAGCCGAGGAGGAGGGGATCACCTGAGGTCAGGAGTTCGAGACCTGCCTGGCTAACATGGTAAAATCCCGTTTCTACTAAAAATATAAAAATTAGCCAGGTGTGGTGGCACACACCTGTAATTCCAGCTACTCAAGAGGCTTGAGGCAGGAGTATCACTTGAACTCGGGAGGCGGAGGTTGCAGTGAGCCGAGATCACGCCATTGCACTCCAGCCTGGGCAACAGAGTGAGACTTTGTCTCAAAAAAAAAAAAAAAAAGAAAGAGAGAGAGAGAAACTACAAGCAGTGGTAAATAAACCTGGAATGTGCAGATGTGCTCACTGAAGGTCGGGGCTTTTGGTGCCATCGGTGACTGTGCATCCTCTGCCTTAGCCTGCTTACTGACGCTATCTTAGCAGAGCGGGTTGCATTCTCAGGACGTGTGCACATTCTAGGGCCTTGTGGGAGATGTCCTGTACGGCCATAAACATTTCGTAATCATAATTGGGGGCCAGCTTAAGAGGTGATCATTTTAGTGATCATTTTAGGCCGATGTGGTGGTTCCCGCCTGTAGTCCCAGCACTTTGGGAGGCTGAGGCATGAGGATTGCTTGAGCTGTTTGACACCAGACTGGGCAACATGGCAAAACCCCATCTCTACAAAAACTGCAAAAATTAGCCGGATGTGGTGGTGCATGCCTGTAGTCCCAGCTACTCCAGGGGCTGAGGTGTGAGGATTATTTCAGCCAATATCAGGTTACTGCACTCCAGTCTGGGTGACAGAGGGAGACCCTGTCTCAAACACAAAAAGAATGTGGCTATTTTCAGACAGCAGGAGCCTTATAGATGCCTTGTGAGTGCTTAGCTACACATTTTAAGATGGATCACTCTAGTTGTTTTATTAAACTAGAGGCTTGGTAAGCAGAGGTCCCCAACACTCTCATACCAAAACCACAATTATCAACACAGAAGACTCCTGTGACAAACAGTTGTGGGGTTCCCCCCACACAAAGCACTGGACACCAGCAGGGTGTCCTCAATTCAATTCCAACACTATCTGCCCAGCGCCAGCCTCAGGTCCCACAGGTTGGGGCTCACAGGACTGCCTCCCCATTCCCCAGCTGCAAGTTTGGGCTCCGGAACTTTCGACCGACTGGCTTCAGGTTGGCGTTCCCATGACTCTCCTCTTTGGGTTCAATTAATTTGTTAGAGCGACTCAGAGAACTCAGGGAAAAACATTCACTGGTTTATCATAAAGGATGTTACAAAGCATCGAGATGAAGCAAAGTGCAGGTTGAGGTGCTGGGGAGGGGCCCGGAGCTCCCATTCATCCCTGTGGTGTCACCCTCTTGGGACCACACGAGTTGAGCTATGGAGAAACGCTCCAAACTCTGTCCTGTAGGGTTTTGTCAGCATTCCTTTCCCAGGGAATAGGGCGGGGCCCTCTCTGGGGAGAGTCTTAAGACTCCCAATCAGAAAGACCCAGGGAAGATTCGAGTGCTGCTTTGGGGCACGTGAAAGACGACAGATTGTTTCCCTGGTCTAACACACCTGAAAGACACAAGGGCCTTCCCCATCATAACACAACACCCTGTCTGCGGTGGGGAGTGAAGGAGATAGAAGGCAGACGGACGCTGGGCATGGTGGCTCACGCCTGTAATCCCAGCATTTTGGGAGGCTGAGGCAGGAGGATCACAAGCTTAGGGGTTTGAGACTAGTCAACATGGTGAAACCCCGTCACTACAAAATATACAAAAAAATTAGCCGGGCATGGTGGTGCATGCCTGTACTCCCAGCTACTCAGGATGCTGAGGCAGGAGAATCTGGGAGGCGAGGACTGCAATGAGCCACGATCACACCATTGCACTACAGCCTGGGCGACAGGGCAAGACTCCGTCTCAAAAAAAAAGGTAGATGGGAGGGAGCAGAAGACAGGCTGCAAGGCGGATTCTCAGAGTGAAGTCTGTGAGGCGGAGAGGTGAAGGCCAGTTGAGGAAAGGGGCCTAGGAGGACACTCCTGTGTGGAGCAGTAGGCGCAGCCAGCCAGCTCCTCTCCACCACTGGACGCTCCCATTCCTTGTAAAGGCCCTTAAGGAAGGAGAACCTGGACTCCACAAGACCACACTTCCAAAAGTGGAGACCCCAGGCTAGGCCAGTGAGTGGCTCTGCTCCCGGAAAATCCCTCCTGACCCCATTCCCACCGCAGGAGGTATCACTGCACTGAATGACACGACGGCCTGCCATCTCTTCATGTAGTTAGCAGACAGGGAGGACAGCGTCGTGGGGTGTGCGGAGACCCCCTCTGGGGGCAAGGACTCATGCTGGGTCCAGGTGATCTCTGACAGCAGACAGGCACCATTCACCGCGCCAGCTGGGGAACTGTGCCACTGCTCACTGAGGATCAGCGAATGAATGCAATTGTTGTTATACTTATGAGCTGATGCGCGGCGAGTACAGGCACACTTCCCAACGTCCTAAGGGCTCCACACTGTGTATCCCCACTTCACGGATGGGAACAACCAGGTGGAGGCCCTGGGCTTTGCCAGTAGGAGCTGGGGTTTGAACCTAGTGTTCTGCTCTCTGGAGGACAAGCACCATCCTTAAGAGGATGGTGACTCCAAGGCATCCCTGGTTTCTGGTGGACATCCTGAGCTGGGGTATCAGCTGTGATGGCCCCCACAGGTAAGGTGTCCACCCCGGTCTCTGCCGATGAAGCCTGGATGGAGTAGGGATCCAGGCATCTCCCTGTGGAGATGGCCCCTCCTGTACCTACACCCTTTGACTTTTGGGTGGGCTGCTGCGCTACCTGAGAACTTCCTGGCCCCCACTGTCCACACCCTTCCTTCACCTCTCCCTCCACAGAGGTACAGGATTTAAAGTTGCCAGTTCTATGTACATAAAGACACTGGGATTAACTGGAGACAGCATCTCACTCTGTGGCCAGGCTGGTGTGCAGTGGCGCGATCTCAGCTCACTGCAACCTGCGCCTCCGGGTTCAAGCAACCCTCCTGCCTCAGCCTCCCGAGTAGCTGGGATCACAGGTGTGCGCCACCATACCCACCTAATTGTGTTTGTATTTTAGTGCAGACGGGGTTTCACCTTGTTGGCCAAGCTGGTCTTGAACTTCTGGGCTCAAGTGATCCACCTCCTTCAGCTTCCCAAAGTGCTGGGATTACAGGCGTGAGCCACCACGCCCAGCCAGACACTGGGACTAAGAAATACATCTTTTTTTTTTTTTTTGAGACAGAGTCTCGCTCCATCGCCCAGGCTGGAGTGCAGTGGCGCAATCTCAGCTCACTGCAAGCTCCGCCTCTCGGGTTCACGCCATTCTCCTGCCTCAGCCTCCCGAGTAGCTGGGACTACAGGCGCCCGCCATCACGCCCGGCTAATTTTTTGTATTTTTAGTAGAGACGGGGTTTCACCGTGTTAGCCAGGATGGTCTCGATCTCCTGACCTCGTGATCCACCCGCCTCGGCCTCCCAAAGAGCTGGATTACAGGCATGAGCCACTGCGCCCGGCCAAAATAAATCTTTTTAGCCTGGCCAAGAGCTCCTCCCAACAATTACCTGTCCAATGCCTCACAACACAAGTCATGGAGCAAGACAGGTTCTGCAGGGACTGGGATGCTGAGGACCCTGGGAGCAGGGGTAGGGGCTGCAGTGAAGTAAGTCACAGGAGGGAAGGGACACAAGTCAAAAGTAACAATAACTAGAATTACAGCTTAGAAAACACAAATGCAGCTCTAAGACTTGCCGACATTCTACGCAGCGGCACCCCCCACGTTCCGCCCACTCTCAACAGCCGTCAAAGCGCAGCTCGGACTGCAGGGAGGTTTCGCGTCCAGGGTCACTCTCTGGCTCCTCTCTCGAACGCCGCCTCCGACACCCGCCCAGCACGACCCAGCCTGGGGTGTCTCTCTGCAAGGGAGAGGTCAAGTGGGGGACCCTCGGTCTCATGTAAATGCAACTTGGGGCGATGCAGGATAGTGTCCAGCATTCAGGAAAGGGGGCCTTGGTGGAAAGAGCGGCCAGCCAGGAAAATCAAGTCTCTAGGCCTTTTCAGAGCCAAAATGCAGCCAAGCGGGAAGGCGGACAGGCGCCCAGGACCCCTGGGGCAAGGAGCTGCCCCTTCCCTCCTCCTGGGGAAAGCACTAGCCAACCGCTCCCGTGCCTCCTAGCCCAAGGAGTTCGCCCTGGCCACCCCTAAGCCCAACAGCAGCCCCCAGGGCTCCTCACAGGTCATAAGCCCCTCTGAGTCGCGACAGTCCTCGCATCCAGGTCGGGGCAGGGAGCGGGGGCGACTGTCCCCAACACGGCGGCCAGAAAGCCCAAAATGCGGAGCTTGCCCAAGATGGCGGTCACGACTATCCCGCGACAACGCGGCCCCGGGCTCGCTGTGCCCGAGCCTGGAGCCTGCCGAACCGCACTAACACG